CCTTACAAAAAACATACAAGTGAAAAAGGTCTGGTAACTCTAAATCAAATTTAATAAACCTACAGGCATAAGTAGTGCTTCAAACAACTTTATTTACATAAAGTTAAAAATTATGATGCCTTCAAGACTCAAAAAATATTTTATTGTTAAAGATGCTGCACAAGAACCAATTTTCTACAAATGATTCATATCTTATATTATAAAATAAGGTATTGTACAAAGATCTTAATGTTACCTTTAATTCTTACTCACCATTATGGACAACTAATGAGAAAGGATGTTTGATTCTGGGAGAATTTATAGTTCTGATATCAGTGCCATCTAGTTTAGCATGTTGAATATGATCCAGTAGGGCATCACACCAATAAAGTCGATCCTTGGCAAAATCAATGCTCAAGCCATTTGGCCAGCCCAGAAGAACCCCCCGAAATACCATAGAATTTGTTCCATCTAAAAATGCTCTGCTAATGTTTGCTGGTCGGTCCCATTCAGAGTAGAAAAGATAACTGAAAAGAAGTTATTTTATTCATGAATCAATGAACAATACATTTTTATGTGACATCAAACAAAGAGAAGTTTAAGTTTGTAGAATGAATACTGTCATTATTTTAATTTGAACTTTCACAAGCTGATTTAAACAAAAATGTTTTGAAAAGGAGTAACCATAATTATTAAACATAAATATTGTTTTCCCAATCTCTCTTTACTAACTCAACATTATAAAAATGTATTTTAGAGTAACAGTAATAAATATAAATAGTAGAAAAATACAAATGTGTAAAAATCTTTTATATCACATTAGTGTATATATAGCTATTCAATTTAATTGAATGTTACAAAATGGTATAATTCATCATAGCATTCAATCTACATGACAATATTCTTTATTTTTCCATTTGCCTTTTATCACTTTTAATTGTGTTCACTTTGAAAAAAAAAAAATTATTTGAATGTAAATTTCATAATGTCAAACAGATTACAAGTTAAGTAAACTAAACCCCTCTTTTCCTAAATTGTGAATTTTTTATTTAAATTTACATTGAATGTTCTTTAAATAGCCCAATAAAAGGACCAACTCCAGTCACTTGTATGCATATATTATGATCAAATCAAGAGATTTGTTTCTAAGTTAATCCCTATAGGTAAGTTTCTTAGTTGTAAATCAAATTACTTATAACTGTATTTATTTTAGTACATAAGATTTGTTTCTAAGTTAATCCCTATAGGTCAGTTTCTTAGTTTTAAAGCAAATTACTTATAGCTTTATTTATTTTAGTACATAATGCTAAATGGAATGAAGTTTTATAGAGAATGAAAAACTAATACTACAGGAAAGAAGACAAATCATTTTAACAAAATACTACAAAGCCACAAATAAAGCAAAGATTATTGGTAATACGGATTCCAATGCCATGAATGAAATATCAATTTAGGTACAAAAACTATAATACTTAAAAGCAACAGATAAACTAACCCCTTATTAGGATGCACTACGATGGCACGAGGACGCTTCAGGTTGCTGATCAGTGTTCTTCTGTGTCGGAAGTTGTTAACACTAATAACATTCAAAGTTCCCTTCCTGCTGTCAATGTAGTACAGATTGTCAGAAACCCAGTCCAAAGCTAAACCTTCCACACCTTCATTCTGTGATGCCAACACACTCTTTGGTTCTGTATGAGTTAGAAACTTGAGATTTCTAATCTTAAAATATTCCTTTCATAATAAGACAATAATCATTATTTAAATGTTATCTAAGTTTTATTTCTCAAATAAAAATTTTTGTTGCAAGTACTGCAAAGTTGAAGTCTACAAGACATTGATGTTTTTATTAATGGATCTGTATGAATATACTAATGTTTTATAGATTACATTAAAATCATCTTTCATGAAGAGATTATGGAATTTGTAATGTAAATTTAAACATTTGTTTTCCAATGTTATAAGTTTCTTTAAAAGAATAAATACAGTTAATGAATATACATGATTAAGGTTGTTTTTTCTTCTAAGTTTAATAATAAAAAGAATTGCTATATCCAGAAAGAATCGTCAAAGCTTTTGTTAAGTTATTTACCATTATCATATATTTTACTATTTTTGAAGGTAAATTTTTACTTAGATTGGTAATCATATCTACCTGTTCCATCGGTTTTGATTCGGTAAATTACATCCAGTATTACATCAGAATAGTAAATGTAGTTTTGACGAGCATCGAAATCTAGGCCAACAAAGCGAGCAGATTTACCAACTACTGGTACCATGGCATCAGTAAAACTCTCTCCCACAGAATTAAGAAAGGTCCCCCTCACAAACTTTTGGTGGGAGTACAAAAGAAATTCTTCCACTCCTACAATAAGAAAGCTTTTGCATCAAACAACAATAACATTAAAGGAGATCAAATTACACTTTACAATAATATTAGAGTGATGTTTAATCTACACACTACACTGCAAGATTAATTACAAGAATTATATAATCTAACAGTATCTTGGATTTACAAAATAAAATTACAGTGAAGAACATTCCTCAAACGTTACTGTTTTTGTTTGCTTGTTTAGCACAAAGCTACACAATGGAATATCTGTGGTTTGCCACTGCAGGTAATAGAACCAAATGTTTAGCACTTTAAGCCCTCAATTTATCACTGAACCACCAGGGAGGGGACAAAGGTTAATGAAAAGCTTGAATTCCTTCATTTTATAGGAAAATAACCTTATTTTTGTTCATACAATACAAATTTACAAAATGGTGTTTACAAAATTTAAATGTATGAATAGATAATGTTTATATAGCCATAATTTTAAGCTGTGGATAGAAAACTGCAAAGATGGCCACAAGAAAAAAAACAACAGCAAGGACAAAATACCCCTATTATAAGTTAAGTCTACTTCCCACCTACAATATGATTGGGGTAGTTCACAATTCTATTATTGTATCAACATGTTGGCAATGACTGTCTTCATCAGCTATTACATAGATGATGAAACATATCTTGATACTCTAATAAAATTATCATGCATATAAATATGTAAAATTGAATAATAATTACAATAAATAAAACACAGATTGGAAATTGTTTTCTGACAGTAACATAAAAATAATGAGACATAATGTGTATCATAATATTAGAATTCAAAATTAAGGATGCAATAGCTTTAGAGATTAGAAATTAAACTGAAATATGTGCCATTAACATTAACTAATATGAAAGGATAAGCACTTGGTTTAATATGTTGCTACAAAGTTTTATCCATCCAACTAAATATTTTGACACTTTCAAAAAAAATAAAAGGCAAACTTACTTTAATGAATGCTAATTATACTTTCTTGTAGTACATTCAATGAAATTATGAATTTCTTTTTACCTAAAAACTGTCAATATACATAAATTCTATCCCTTTGCATTTAACCACCTTTTAACTAAAAATGAAGTATCATCTTGCACAAATAGAACTTGATTAAGAATACAATCTTTAGTTGACAATATTATTGTCGTAAGCTATATCTTCAATGTTTAAATTTATATGTGAGCTTGAGGGCAAATTGTTAATATCTAGTAAATTGACTAAGATCTTTGTTTGTTTGTTTGTTTGAAGTTAAGCACAAAGCTACACATTGGGCTATCTGTGCTCTGCCCACCACGGGTATCGAAACCCGGATTCTAGCGTTGTAAGTCCGCAGACATACCGCTGTGCTACTGGGGGGCGACTAAGATCTAGAAGGATACATTAGTATAAGTATGGGTAAGCAATTCGTTAAGTAATTTAGAATTCAATGAAGTATTAATTAGAGTAGTGAACAAGAATTCTGTGAAGTGTGTGAGTGATAGAGTATATTCAGAGTTTGTATATTAATTTAATCAGTTGGTTACTAAACAAATTCAGTTAAACATGAAATGTTATTTGTGATTCAAGGCCTACAATTGTGTACAAGTGAAAGTAGCCTGCAGCAAATGTTAAAGAAGAAATAAAGCAATTTGTTATCTCTGTTTGAACTGGACTTTGCATTATTTTCAATATGTAATTTAAAAGAAACCACTTATCTAAAGAAGCGACAGAACTTGCTACAATGATATTTACATTCAGGTTATATAGATTACTGTTTCAATTTTCACACAAATATATTTAATCAAAAAATATTCTTCCAATAATGATTATTACACGTTCAATAATAAACAAGTATCATGGTTACAACTGATGTTAGGTGACTGTCACATGTTTAGTCAGACATATGGCTGAACTATTATTACTATGATAGAGGAGACAATCTTACTTTGTATATGTTATAGCTTTTTTGTGTCTTCACTTTATAATACTGTTTCTTATACTCTATAAAGTATATAAACTCTTATAAACAACACTATAAAAAACTTAATAAGAATAAATGAAAAGAATTTACGACTGCAAGATCTTCCATCACGTGAAAGTTCGTAGCCTATGTTACAGACACAACGATAACCAAGCCCATATTCCTCAGCACTTCGAGTCACAATACACATATGTTCGCAACCTCCGTTGTCACTTCCACATGGGCTGGTCACTAACAATGAGTAACATAATTAATGTTAAAATCATGAACAGTTTGTGGATATAGTTTCCTCTATTCTGTGCTTTTAAAAAAACATTTTATCTGTTTAATTTTCTGATTATAATATCAAAATAATGTGGTAAAATACTCAACACTGATGAAAACAAAGGCAAAAGTATACCTCGTTTTATAATAAATTAGCAATAATGGCTTTACTTTTTACTGTATTTCTATTACATTAAATTAATAGACAGTTTACCTTCAGGCTGTCGAAGAGGGTGATATGATTTGATAGCTTTGGGTGATTTGAGAATAGTTGGATCACGATAGATGATATGAGTTACATCAGAATCATTGAAAAGGTGATTTTTTAATACACCTTGCCGAGTTTCATCTGTCCAATAGATGTAGTTCTCAAACATGGTGAGTTTACTAGGTGAAGGAACTTTAGTATTGCCTCTAACTATTGTATGCCTGGGTAATTAAAAGATAGCAAAGTGTTCATTTCAAACTTATTAACATGTTTATCAATAAAACTTTCTTCATTATTAGAATGTCTAACTAAACAACTCGTAGAACCAAATATGATATGCTAGTCTACACACAGAATTTACAAATAAGAGAGAAACAAAGGATTACAAACAAAACATAAATTCAGTTTACTATTCATCCAAGTTCACAAACTAGGGTGGTTACTACATCAGCCTTTCTAACAAAACAACCTAGAATGGCTTCAGGAATGCCCTGAAAATGGCAGCAGAGTAGCAGCCTAATCATAGGATGTAAACTAAACTGGTAATTAGTATATAATAATAATACCAAAATATCTAAAGCATTAGTAATTATAGTTATATTTTATTGATATTAGAGGATACACAAAACTACAGTTGGAAAAAGTGAGACTTCAAAAAGTTTGTGTATTCACACTATTGGTTCAATAGCTAATTTCAAAAAATGAAACATTGTTTTGAAAGTTACAGTTTAAACAGTGAAAGATTGCTAGTGAAGCATTATAAACCAATAGGCACCTATTATTTTGTGATAAAAATCAGATAAACTGCAGATACTTTTTTCTCCATATTCCTCTTAATTTGTTCATTTCAGATTCAAAATCAAAGTATTGTAAAAATAGCATTTCAGATCTATCTTTTGGCTCCCACAAGACACTGCCGAAAAAGCCTTTAGTTCAATATCAGAACTCAGTTGGACTGGACAATGAGCAACAAAGATTTCTATGGAATACTTTTTAAATATGCAGTATAATACTTTAAAAGTTCCAGTTTAAACACCAAAAGCTAGAAAAACATTAGGAAGCACTAGGCCTAAAGTTTTTGTTAACAAATTATGTAAACTGCAGATCTTTTTTTGTGACTTTTATCATTAATTTTAAGCCTATTCTTGATTTGGAATTGTTGCCCAAAGCTACACAAGGGCTATCTGCACGTAGCTGTCCCTAACACTGAAGTGATAGACTAAAAAGTAGGCAGCTAGTCAAAAGCACTCAATGCAAACCCCTACAGCTATTTTTGTCTGACTTAATGCTGTGATTTGACTCTCACTTTTATAATGCATCCACAGCCTCAAATTGTCTAGCACATTTTTGTAGCAATAGGACGTGAACCATGAACTCTCAGGTTCATAATTTGGGCTTAATATGGACAAAGTCACATCCAGTTCCCTTTGAAACATTAACTTATTTTGAAACAACACACTTAATGATTGAGAATGAATGTGTAAAATATATAGCTAAATACAAAGAACTGCATCAACACTTGAACAAAACTATCAGTTATACTAAAATATACTAACCTGTTCTTCCCATCATAGTCAATAGCTACTATCTGGTCTAGAAGTGAGTCACACCAAATAAGCCACTTGTTAATATAATCAACAGCAAGACCTGACGCTTTATATATCAGTGAGTTCACAATAGACTTTCTATTGGAACCATCCATGTATGCTCTGTCAATGTTGTCAGAATCACTGAAGAACATCAACCTAAAGTGGATATTTAGACATGTAATTAAAATCTTGTATTTTAACTATACACATGCAAAGCTTTTATAAGCAAGTAAACTAAGTTGCTGCATAAATTTTATAAATGTGAAGTACTGAAGTATGTGCTTTCAATTTTGGCAAGATAAACAAACATCCAACATTTTACCTTTTTATTTGCACTGAAAGAAAAAATAATAGCAAAAACCAAGAAAACACTTTTAGATCACTCGTATTCACATAACACAAAGGGAATTACTTATGCCATGAAAAACTTTACATTTAACTCAAAGGGAATTACTTACGTCATGAAAAACTTTACATTTAACACAAAGGGAATTACTTACGCCATGAAAAACTTTACATTTAACACAAGGGGAATTACCTACGTCATGAAAAACTTTACATTTAACACAAGGGGAATTACCTACGTCATGAAAAACTTTACATTTAACACAAGGGGAATTACCTACGTCATGAAAAACTTTACATTTAACACAAGGGGAATTACCTACGTCATGAAAAACTTTACATTTAACACAAGGGGAATTACTACGTCATGAAAAACTTTACATTTAACACAAGGGAATTACTTACGTCATGAAAAACTTTACATTTAACACAAAGGGAATTACTGTCATGAAAAACTTTACATTTAACACAAAGGGAATTATGTCATGAAAAACTTTACATTTAACACAAAGGGAAGTAATTACGTCATGAAAAACTTCACATGTAAAACAAAGGGAATTACTTAAGTAATGAAAAACTTTTTATAATGAAAAAGGCTTCTCAGAATTTTTCTACTCTTTAAGAGTCATTTTTACTGTTTCTTGTTCAGAATCTCAATGATCCAACACTAATTACTCACACTACTTCTACTGATGTTAAAGGAATTACTAAGAATTACAGATTTTTTGAAGGCTATTAGTATTGTTTTCCTTCAGATGGAACTTTCCCTCTAAAGTTTCCATTCTTTAAGTTTTAGGTTTCTGTTTGAAGAGTACGTTGTTAAATCCACATTGATGTTATTATAATTTGTGTAACCTGTCATCCTTGCTATTTTTCAGTTACCAAGTTGGAAAAAGCTCAACTGAAATGCATTAGTTAGCAGAGAAAGCTAACTAAGATGATGGAGTTTTAAGTGTTATAATTACAATCATTACATTTATTAACAGGGTGCTTAGAATAAACTGTCATGCAGGTTACTTACTTTTTTGGTAATCATGCCTTGAAAAAGAGTTATGTCTATCACCTAGGATGGATGTCTACTGGCAGATGTAATACTGTTACAAATATGTTGTAACTCAAAGTAGATAGTGTCTCATTTTGTTGTTTGAAAGACGTACAAGATTAAAATGTATATTGAATAAAATAAAATTTTTCTGTGGAGTTGGAATTTCTTATATATTAAGACTGGTAAACAGATGAAAAATATTTGGGTGTTAACCAGCAATAAACTTATGGTATAATGAACTAGATAAGTTATTAAAATATTGTACTGTTCAAGTCTGATAATTGTGAGGTAGAACACATAAGTTGCCACAGAAAAATCAACACTGTGACAGTGCTGTTTACCACATTGTAGTGTATACCTCTGTGTATTGCATTAGAGAGCAGAGTTTGACTTCCAACAAGATGCCATGTTTAATGAGTCAAATTATTAATAAAACTGGCTTTAACCAGGAACTTTGACTCACACTAGAGTGTCAAATCCATTGCTCTACTAACTGAGTTGCCATGACTCAATTCCCAATCAGTTAACCAATCATCTTAATCATTATAATATTAATACTTCATTTAGAACCAGAAGGAAATTTTACATAATCACACAAATGAAAATTGTTTGCATATTTTATTCTAATTCAGTGATATACTTTCACATCATTAACACTGTTAAGACTGTGAATGATTTGTGTATCATAAGACTCTAAAGATAGAATTACCTCTTAATGGAAATCAAAGAACAGAGAAGCTTCTTTTAATCATTTAAGTTAAATCTTTCAAGTCTGTCAAAAAAACTAATTTTCCTACCCAACCGTAGGGTCAAGAACTATGTCCATCGGGGATGATAAATTGCGACTGATGATAATTGCATGATGATTGCCATTCAACTCCATAAGATCTATCTTCTGACCCAAAGCATCACAGATATATAGCTTGTTTCCCACCCAGTCAACAGCCAAGCAGACAGGACTCCATTGAAAATTAACACTAATCTCATCAGACAGTTTCATGTAGTTAACATGAAAACTGTACACCTATATAATTAAGTCACATAAACATTGGTTAAAACCAAGTGCATTAGATATTTACATTAAATAAAGAAGTGTCTATTAAATACACAATTAAGCCTGAACTTCATGAAGAAAACTGATTAAAAAAATAACAGAAACTTATTAATTAAGTGTTAAACCTTAAAACTAAATCTTAATGTGCTTAACAAGTCAAAATCAAAATTTTATACAAGTAACTAAGATTTTAGTTCTGTTAAAGTAAGTGTTAGTTTGAGATTAATGGCCATACATGCAATTAAAAAAACAGCCTTTTTTTGTTCCTTCCCTAACCATTCCGAGTTTTGAAATGATGTACGTACTGGGAGGAAGCAGCTAGCCAACAGCACTCACTACCAACTTTTGGACTACTCTAACCAAATTGTGTAATTTCACCATACTTTTATAATGAAGCCACATAGTGTGAGGCACAATTTTGTGGTAATGGGGCATGGACCATGGACCTTAAGATTCACAGTTTTGACTTGCTAACCACTAACCTGCAGTATAATGGGTTTTACTTTCAATATTATATTTTGTCTGGTCCCACTAAAAAATAGGGCATAAATAAACTAATATTTGACTGAGGTTGAAACAAAGTTTAAAAGGTATATGAAGTAATAATAATATAGTATGATAAACTGACAAAATGAAAAAAAAAAACAGTAAAAGACTTAACCTGAGTTAATAAACAAAAGTATTAGTTGAAGAAAAAATTTTATCACTTTGAGATTACTCTCAATTCTTCTTTTTTTACCTTTTTTGTTTCTGTGTCAGACCAAAATACAAGATTTTTAGTATAGTGAAAGTCTAGTCCACTGGCTGCTGTTGTGTTAGTGATGATTTCTAGATTCAGACCCTGAGCATCCATTTTGTATATTGAACTGTGATGGGTGAAAAATAACTTCATCTGTGTACCTGCAAGAAATAAAATGTTTCACATCATATGATATACACATATTAAAAGAAAAAGGGCACAAACCAGCTATATTCCTAACAAATAGTTGTGTTTGTACATGTTCTATAGCAAAGAACCTGTATATCTATAAGTAACAGTGTTATAAAAATATATGAAATAGGTTTTTCAGACCTTCATCCATATAAACCGTTATACCTAAGATGGAACTTTTAACACAAGGAGGGTTGTAACTGCATATTAAATTTGATGCTGTTGTATGTCCAATTTACAAGTCTGAAAACTTCTTATAAGCTACCTGGACTTGAGTATTTACAATGAAGGCTTTGAACCTGCATAAAAACAAAAAATGTTAATAAGTTTGAAGTTTAGATTTCTTCAGGAAATGGAAGATTTAAAATGTGTGATAAAATCACATAAACTGTAAACATTATTATTTTTTCCATGTTCCTCTTGATTTGTTTATTTTGGATTAAAAATCAGAGGCATGTAAAATTAACATTTCGAATATTTTGTTTCCCATATTTCACTGCCAAAGAGGCCTTTCATTCAAAAGCAGAATTCATCAGTTGGGTAGGAGGATAAGAGATAAAAGGTCCTCTGGAATGCCATATATATATATATATATTTTTTATTATTATTTTCTTTTTTAAATCTGAAATGCATATACTACGAGGAATATAGGTGAAAAAACATCTGCAGTTTACATAATTCTGTTTCTTTATCACAAACTTTACGCCTGTTAGTTCCTAATGCCTCATCAACTTTGATATGTAACTTTAATTCGAGAATTTAGTTTAAGGATCAGACTGAATTAAGATATAATGTTTTTGTTGATAGTATTTTTATATTTTATTTAATAAAAGTATAAAAGAACTCACTGTTCTCAGCACGACAATGTCTGGGAGGAACCAACCTATATCCACTTGCACAAGAACACTCAAAGCTTCCTGGAGTGTTGAGGCACAACTGGTCACAGTAACCCCATTGAGAGCACTCATCAAAATCTACAAAATAAAGAAAGATTAAGTTAGAGGAATTAAGATCCTCTAAATACACCTAATACAAGTATGCAAATTTATTACAATCATTGATCTAGTAATGATAATGATCATAAAGATTTACAAGAACAACAAAAAAAGTTACAATTTCTGAATACCAAGACAAAATATATAAATATAAATAAAACTAAAGATAATATGAATGTTTACTCACAGCTGATCACAATCTTGCAATTTTTGGAAACATTTATCTAACCTTAGTTGATTAACAAATTGAAATATAGTAAAAAGGTTAAAAAATTAATACTTGAATGAGTAATTTTTCACTTACAGCCAACATTCACAAATACTTATTCACTACAGCATAAAAATATAATGATGTGATTATCCAAGATCATGGGATCATGGGAAGCTATATGTAAAGACTCACTGAAATCTTGCTTGAGAGAAGGTTTAAACAGAGGAGAATATACTTGGAAGGTGTTTTTAATGGACTGCATCTGTCTAGGAAGTTTTAAACAGGATTTCGATATGTGCAGATCTTTATCAGGTCTTGCACTAATAGCTCGAAACATCGTCCAAAACTTCTTAGCCAGATGCAGTCCACTAACAACACTTTTCAAGTTTACTCAATAAGATGTTGGATAGTTTAAGTTGTTAAGAATTGCCTTACTGAGAACTGCTAGTTGGACAACACTTTAGCTCAGTTGGTACAGCACTTGCTTAGTGTGCAAGAAATTCTGGGATACATTATGATCCCAAGAAAAAAAAATTAATTACCACAGAAAAACTAGTCCCCAACATGGAGTTATCCCACCACTTTGAGATAAGACATTGTTTATGAGAAGATAATAAGTTTGTAGTCTGATTTGTTAAAAGTGCCTTTCAAGGAATATCTAATGAGTAAGCTTCTTGTTGAAGTTAGTAGAGCACTCTCTTGGTATGAGTCTTAAGTTCAATAAAAATACGAGAAAATTACCATAATGCTGGTCAAATGGTTGAATTGAAGAGAATGCAGTACTTCAGCTTACTTTGTCTACTTTAGTCACTGTTGCTTAAAAATGTTTAGAAGTTACTCATTCAAAAACAGAGCAAAACTAAATCATTGTGAAAAGAAGAAATAAACAATTAGGAAGTTATGCAGATACCCAAGGGAGATTAAGAAGGGGACAGAACAAGTATGTGGACGAGAGGTGGGTCATAAACAGAAAGAGTCAACATTGTTAAGAAAACAACATAAAAAGCTATCAAAAACAGACACGAAACTTGGTTTTCGAGTCTACCAATTAATATATTCAAAATCTTTGTTCCCCCATTACTCCCACATCAACAACAGAAAATAATAAAAAGGCTCTTATGTTACTGGTGAATATCAGCTCTAATATGTAACAAAACCATGTCACTTTTCCTTCTAATTAAATAACCAAAGACAAATACACAATAATCAATGCCTTTAACTTTTCTTTCACATTATGTACAAAAGTGTAACCATTGGTAACAATTGTCAAAAATTGTCAAGATGTACTTCCTGAACAAGAAATGTCTGTCCTCTGCTTAAAAATTTCGCTTATTAAGTACACAATACATTTCTTTCATGCTGCAGACTGTTCTACTCACAAGCTATAAAGCTAAATCATAATAGTACAGAAGGTATCTTACTTTGTCATTGTAACTACAAGGAAAGAAAACTTGAAAAGGTAATAAACACATTGTTATATCATAGCTTCCTTTAGAACATGAAAATATAAGCCTAGCTAACTATTTTTTCTGAAGATATACAGACAAGCATGCTGTAGGACTTTAACATAGATGATAATCACTATAACATAGGGTCTAAATAATAGATGGAGAGGTGTTGCAGTGAATTTAGTGAGGCAACATGGAAAGTTGGTTCAGTTTGCATATATCCCAAATACAAAAGGAAAATGCTCACAGACACCATAACATTAATGTAACCTATGAACAAGACTCATTGTTAACTTCTATATAAATGTTATATCTAAGTAATTCATAGAAATTCATACAATCAACAAACAATGATATATGCTGAAAAGAAACTAACAGAAGAAAAGAATGACACTAATAAAATTTATCAATCATTACCTCTACAGCTTCTTCTATCACCTGGATTGACCTGCATTCCAGTTTTACAGTAACATTCTCCTCCTTCAGGAGATGGCCGACATCCATATTCACACGACAAGGAGTGACACAAATTAGATGCTGTATATGTAGCACAAGCATGAATGGATTAAAGTCGTACAATCATAGAAATAAATGGCACATATGTTACAATCATACTGAAAATGTGTAGAGAAAATATACTTTTGTTTATAAATTTAGAAAATTCTTAACTACAAAATTAGTTTATTATGATTAAATGATTTGATAACATTAAAAATCCTAATATAAAACACAGTGTTATCCAAAGAAAAATTCTGCTAAAAATCTGAGTAATATTTCAATGAGAATTTAAATATTTAAATATAGTTAGATCTTTCTACTCCAAAATGTGTAGTAAATTTAGTTTATATAAGTTAATATAAAGTGAGATTTGAAGGCATCATGGGTGATTAGATAATTTCTCAACATCATATATTTTTACATGATGCATTTTGTAGTCTATTACAATGGTAAACCCCGAAGTCTTCCAATTACAGCACATTAAAAACAATTTACATTATATAACAATTTTTATTGATTGAAATAAGTTACATATTACAGTAAAAACTTTTAAAAAGTAACATTTACACACTTACATATTGATAAGTTCTAAAAGTAACTACAGTAGTCCCTCTTAGATATGACTGACCTATCTGCCATGATAAAAAAAGTCATATCTGACAGGACTTCCTTATTCAAAGGATCAATAACCAACTAACAAATGACCAAGTTCAAGCTGTTCCAGTCACTATTGCCAAGGCTTGAGCATAATGGTTTATATACAGATGACATAGCAAATTTGTATAATAGTACTCATGATAGATAACAGTTCAATAAATATAACTTAAATTTTTTGTTTGTGTTTTATGTAAAATAATTTATCTTGGATCAACTTTCCAGAAACAGGAATGTTCTTAGCTCTAGCATCACAGAATTAATCAAACACTAGCTTGTTAAGTTCATGATTTGCGGTTTTACGCACTTTGGAGACTTTGATGTTTGAATTACAACCACTTTCCCATAACTCCATGATTTTAACTTTGTCAGCAACAGTTGTTTGAATTTGCATTTTGCAAACCTACATTTTGGCAGCAATCAGAACACATTTGGCACCCTTTTGGATTACTTTGATCTTTGGTGTTTACATTTTCACTTTTCTTGAGGCATTGTGAGACAGAATCAATCTTTGTACAAAAATGTGAGTGATTTATTCTTTAATATGTATTATATTTATACAGCAAGCCACACATTAACTTCTCACCAGGAGAATTACTTACCTATATCATCTGAAATCTTGAGAAAACACTCATTCTGACTTCTGATTGACTGGTGAGGGTTTTCCCAGCTTGCATCATGGTCTTATTTTCATGGCCGATTGCACACTACTCATCAAAACACTCACGTAATCAAGTACTAATTGCTGTTGAAGTTATTAATTTTTTCTGATCACATTGAATAATCGAGGTAGAGATATTCATATTTTGAAAATATTACATAAAGTATGAAAATTTCCAAGCCTTCATATACATTGTGTGGCGTGGCAGATTATAGTACATACATGTTCACATGAAATCAAATAAATGAACACAGCATGTTTATAAGTTTTTATTGAAATGAAGAAAATTCGCTATACAGAGAGGTCATTATCCGACCTTCTACCCAAAAATCACAGTCGTATGTTGCATCTGTCAGGAAGTCATTCATGGATCAACGTAAAATCATTCCATGGACATAAAAAAATCATATCTAAAAAGAAGGAGGGGGTCACTGGAGGGAACCAGGGACTACTGTACAACAAAATCACTGTTATTTGGAACTATTAAGTTTAAATGTGCCACTATTCCTATTTGTGTATTAATAGTTCCACAATATTCACGATTACAGTTTAGTTTATTAAGGGTACACGACATTAAAAAAAATTAGTTCCATTTTTGATGATTAAACAACCCAAAAACAGGTACAACAATCTATCTACAGAATACACAACATATAAAAATAACGAATCCTAATTATCTATAACTTACAACATGCTTCTTTTTCATCCACCCCATCATCACAGTCTCGGAACCCATTACAAAGCTTAGTTTTTTCAATACATTTTTTCTCTGATGGACACAAGAATTTTGATTCAGCACAAGTAATTAGAGCTATGAAATAAAAAAGTACCATTAAATTTTTGAAATACTTCATTTTAATCAGTTATTTATATATTATACATACATTGTATTATTGCAAAAGTCTGAACATCATAATTAAAAAAATACATGTGAGCATCCACTGAATTGGAAGTTAATTTTAGTAGCTACCTTATCAAACATAACAATATAATATTATTATCTACTACATAAAGCAAAGTTTGTATCTGGGAAAAAAAATACATTGTTGTATATCTATCATTTCATATCTGTTCCTTATTTGTTTCCACATTTCTAGATTAACAGGAACCAAATTTGACACAGTGATATGGGATGACATGAGGAAGGTCATGAAGGGGTTGGACCCCCATCTTCTATATAAATAAACGTCAAATTACAAGGTCCTTGATAACACAAATCCCACAGAAAAATGTAAACAGAATACCATCAATACTGCAACTAATTCACTAATTACTGATGTGGTCCAATATGTACTCAGAACAAAAAATATAATTATTTTTAGTCAGTTCTTTGCACTCAGTGTAGAAACAGGCAAAAACAGTAAGTATCGGTTCACCAGATATGCACCATGTTTTATTCAGTATTATGTAATAGGTACGATCCACTGATGTTAACAGTATAAGAAAAAAGTCAGGAATTTAAGGGTTAAACTAATATTGATCACAAGTTTCCAAATAAGAGTGAAAAAGATCTAGCCAATAAAGCGACAAAAGTTAACATTTCTAACACTAAAAATGTATTTCCCATAGGTACTTACTACTCTCATCCATAGTTATCTTGACCTTCATTTACCCAATAGGCAATGGTAAACTTTTTAAAAGTGCACCAGTATTTTATACCCCTATATTTTTTTCATCACTGCAACAACATGTGCTGATCATGTGACCACCCTCCACCAATTCCATTGCACTCTCTATGCTAGCACAGGTAGCTACCTCTATTCTTGTGATACAATCCTAACTTTCTAGAATTGGCATATACAAATAAAAAAAATACCAGTAAATCAGTGGGAAGGAAGGGTGGGAAATGGGTAAGAGGAGGTAATTACCTATCGGAAATACATTTTCATTATTAGGAAATATTAACTTTTGAAATGGTACTACCTCCTCTCCCAAGTGAGGTTTACCCAGGCATAAACATCTGGGGGGAAGCCCCTTGGTATTTGGTATACAATGGATTATGTCAAGTGCAGTCCATCTTGGCAGGAAACATCCAGAGGAAGCACCTTGCATAATATATTTCATGCCATATTGTGTGTATAACATGAAGCATGAAGACAATAGCCTTCTTCTCATTGAGTGAGTACATCTGACTATGAGGTTGTTTTATTGTACAAAACCAGTGACCCAGAAACAGAAAGACCCAGATTGGAAAAGCATCCAGTGGTCTTACAGAAACACCCCATCTCCACAGTGAGCACTGGAGAAGTATACAGATATAGTGCTAAGATATAAAATTCAGCATACCTGACCAGATAACACCCACCACCAGGTGGGATCCTGAAATATGATGTATACACAAAAGCAAAAGAGAAAAATATTAGGTCATCAAGAAATTAATGTCATGTTTGGAAACACTTTCATTAACCACCCCCCAAAAAACATACATCACGTATAATAGTTAAACGAACCCCCTACACATCACGTTAGTGTAGCCTATATAATGTATATAGTTTTGTATACTCTAATTCCTTACAATGATAGCACACAATGAGACACACATTCAGCATGTAATGCTGTTTGAATACAAGAAGGGAAACAACGCTTCTGTAGCCACAAAGAATATCAAAGAAGTTTATGAAAATGTTTGAATGTTCGTAAGTGTCAACAATGGTTCAGGAAATTTCGTTCAGGTGACTTTAGCCTTAAAAACTGTTATGGCAGTGGCCGACATCTTGGAATTGATATTGATGATCTGAAGACGCTTGTTGAGTCTAACCCAAGGCAACACACTCGTTAAATGGCCCTGAAATTGCATGTCTTTCATGACACAATGTGTAAACATCTAAGAAATATGGGAAACTCCATAAAGAAGGTGTTTGTGTGCCTCACAAACTCTTTGATGTTCATCGTTTCCAACATGTGAATGTTGCCTTGTCTCTTCTGGAGCATAATGCACGCAAACTATTTTTGGACAGAATTGTCACCGGTGATGAAAAATGGATTCTCTATGTGAATATTTAATACCAAAAACAATGGATCAGTCCTAGACAAAAACCACTTCCAACCCTAAAACCTGGAAAGTGATGCTTTGCATTTGGTGGGACATCAAAGGAGGAAGTCATTTCGAACTCCTCAATCCAAAGTGATCTGTCAATGCAGAGATCAGCAACTGGAACATTTAAATCAAGCCCTTCATCAGAAATACCCTTCACTCATCAATCGGAAAGGTGTTCTTCTTCTACATGACAATGCACATCCACATCTGGCACGTTTGACGCAACACAAGATTGTGGAGTTGGGATGGGAAATTCTCCCCCACCCACCATGTTCTCCAGATACGACACCATCAGATTACCATTTTTTTTCGTTTGCTGAAACACCATCTTAATGGGAAAACGTATGCAAATGTGGAAAGTGTTAAAGAGGACATCGACATGTTTTTTGCTTCAAAGTCAAGTGATTTCTTTAATCAGGGCATCAACAACCTTATTGTAAGATGGAAAAGTATCATCAATAAGAATGGAGACTATTTCATTTAATAAATGTTATGTTTTGATATACAAGTTGTTCAGGTTTTTTTCATCTAAAAAAAAGTGACATTAGTTTCCCGATGACCTAATAATAATAATATGGTGACTTATCCCAGTCACAGATGAACAAACGTGTGTAGAATTGCCACAGATGGAAAGTGATATCTGCCCAACGAAGACAGTGACACAGTAGGGAGTTGTCCACAATAAGGCCTGAATGACCCTCTCCAGATGACAGTAGAGTCGAGCAACTAAAGTCAGAGTTAGATGATGAATTAGGTGTGAAGAAACAATACGTAGATGGCGATCAGCCAGGGATACATCCAAATATGCCAGGTGTATGAGTTAACGAACCCAACCTGTGAGCATAATAGGAGAAAGATCAGGAAAAACAGGAATGCCATGGAACAACGAGACAGGAACGAGAATAATGAAAGGAGACAGTACGAGCCAAACAATAGAGCAAGGAATGAACTGGACAAAGGAGATGATCCGGAAACGAATGGGAATACAGGAGGGAAAAGGATGGGAAAGAAAGAGGAGAAAAGGAAAAACCACCTACCTGGGCAGCCAAAGTCCAGGAATGGAATGTCAGATCTGGATAATGAAAAACAGATAAGAAATGATAAAGGATGTCATAAAAATTGGAATGACAAAGTCCATGTGCCAGGAAGGGGAGGATTGAGATCGTAAGAGAAATATCTTACAAGAAACAAATTGCAATGGGTTCAAAGGGAGAACTGGACAAGATAGAAAGAACAATATGGAGATCCCAATCTGGCAGAACAAAGTAAATGTGTTGGATGGGCCAGATGAAAGAAATGAAACAACCCAGGGAAGAGAAACTTTCTGGAAGATGGAGAAAAGAGGGTGTGCGACAGAGTAGCTCTATAAAGAGCAACAGTTGAAACAGACAAACCCTGAACAAACAAAAAACTGTGACAGGTGAAGAACAGAAGTGGAGGAGGGATGGAAGCCCTGGGAAAGAGACTAAAGACTGAAACAAGACTTATGTCTCTGGTACACAGACAAAGAGGAAGGGCAAAAAGTGTAGGTAATAAAAGATCCGACATGATAAAGGGAAAGACCCAGTAGAGGAGGAGTCTGAATGGAGGGTAGACATATAGGGAGAGCCCCTGAGACAAAGCTGTGACTGAACAAAAGTCACTCTGAGTATGGAGATGTCTTGATGATAAAAACATCACATCAGGGATGGCTGAGTAGCAGACAAGATAGAGAAAAGGATAAGGTGTGTTGCTCCAGTAAGGGCCAGAACAGAGGGAACCACATCTGAGTAGTCAGTACAAAAGAACCAGCAAACACAAGGTTTGGTCTGGATAAGGGAAAAGACCCAGAAGATGAGTCAAATTGGAGGGTAGGCATATAGGTGAAGACCCCTCCAATCTTGACTAAAAGCATCTATCTCCACAGCTGAAGGGTGTGGAACTGAAGACTAAAAGGAAGAAAGTGTGGAATATCAGTGAATGGGAAATACATACAAACATGTAGTGTTCCCTGTTGAGAACACATCCACAGAAAAACGTGAAGATGAAGAGATTACTTTGTGGAGAACCTGGTAGGGATGCAATAAGAAATTGGCCACAAGAATCAGAACTCAGGGAACATGACTCACCAGAATAGACACATCAGGGTCATTGGCCCAATACACGAAATCCAGAACCTGGTTACCCCTTTCTAGGTGATAAAGCTGACAATAGTGGAATTGCAGAAAGAACCAAAACAACTCTCCCCTGCAGGAAAGGATACAGAGCCTAAAGAACTACCAAGGTACCAGGATGCAGATATGAAGAGTAGCCTCTTTGACTGACCACTGACCTAAAAACTCAATGGAATCGAGGAAAATGGAATGGTCCAAGGGATCATGAGGGAATTTCCGCTGGTTGAGAATTATCCAATGAAGGGAATGCATGTGTGTCCAACCTAAGGGAATGAGCACTTCTAAGGAAGACCACATCCCAAATAAGGGAGATCCTCACAGACAGAGAGAGAAGGACAAGGGATGGCAAACATGACTGTCCGCTCAATATCCTGGAGGCAAAGTGGAAAAGGCTGGACTCCAACAAAAAAGGAAGCGAAAAGAACACCCAAATGAAAAAGATACTATGAGGGGGTAGTAAAGGACTTCTCCACTCAGAAAATAAACCCACCTGAGAAGCTTCTCAAAGTAAGAAGCAGGTGCGAGTGACTGTCTGGGTACAGGAAGAGGCGAGCAGAAGCCTGTCACCCATGAAATGTGAGTCTGAAGATCCAACGAGTGAAGAGCTTAAAAAAGACAGTCTGTGAGTGCTCAGAACTGGAATGCAAACTCACCTAGAGGAACTGAAGAAAAGAACATGATATTGGAGCATAAAAACCCACCAAAGTGTGAGGTAGGACTCTATGGTGAAGCGAGTTGACTGCAGATAAGTATACAGTCAGGACAGATTAAGAAAGGGACTTTAAACTCCCATGTATAGGGAGTCAAAGAAGGATGGGAGTAAACTCCTGGTGTGTAGTAGGAAACCAAACAGACTGAGCAAGACGACCAGACAAGGTACAATCCCGAGGAGGAGGGGGGAGCAAAACAGAAATCAGAAACCCTCATAGAGAACCCGTAGAAAGAACGGAACTGTTGTGAAGTGTAACCGAAAAGACAAATAAACTAAAGAAATTGAAGAAAGTACACCAAACTAATGAACTAACAAAAATTTAGAAACGTGTAGTCTATGAAGAGCTTAAAAGTAACACACCTGCAAAACTAAGAAAATCAGCGTAAAACAATAAGTAACACCTAAATTACAAAACCACTAACGGTACTGCTAAAACAAATGACCCTTAAACACAGAATGTAGAAGTCGACTCAAAGAAACTATAAGACAAAGGACACAAAAAGAAAACTTATCCTAAAGAACATGAGAATAAAAAGGCACCCAGTTACCAATAGCAAAGGTTGACTCAAAGCTTATTTCTAAGTAGATGTGATTAGTAGTGAAAACATTTATCATATTCAACCAAAGTAATGCAAAAAACAATCTCTAAATACAAGTTGTAAACTACAGTCTAAAGTAACGTAGATGGTAAAAGAAGTATGAAATTAAAACTTACACAACACTGAACCAAGAGACGTGAATGACATAAATTATCAAGTGCGGAAATTATATCCATACACGAGCTCATATGAACTCATTGAGCATGAGTATATCTATAGGGAGTGAGAAATACACACTGAAAAACCACAGATCTCCTGAGAAAAAGAACACTACCTATCTTGAAAGAAAAAAATCACTAGCCGAATGTAAGACATGAACTCCCCATGAACGAAAGTCTGTGTTTTCTTAGCAGGCATTATGAAACCTGAGACTGAGGCCTAGTGTTATAACCACTGTCTACTTATAGTGGGAAAATTATCAACCGTCATAAGAAACCTGAATTCATATGAACAAAGTAGAATTAGGGAAGCAGAAACATCTCAAAAACAAATGAGTAGAAACTTGAACTTGAAACTGATCATAATTGGTGATCAAACACAATCAAACATTAAGCAGTTACATGAAGAATGTAAAACACACGTTTATACACGAGAATGCCAATCGAGAAAGTGAGGATTTACCACAAGGTAGAGAGAGCAACCTGTGCTAGTATAGAGGGCACAGTAGGATTGGTGGAGGGTGGTCACATGATCAGCACATGTTGTTGCAATGACACAGAAAAATATAGGGGTTTAAAAGACTTGTGTCCTTTTAAAAAGTTTATCAATGCATAGAGGGCAAATGTAGGTTGAGATAGCTATGGATAAAAGAAGATGGTACCATTTCGGAATGTACAGTTTTACCTTTTTCTTGCAAAGCTACAAAAGGGCTATCTCCACACAGCCTTCCCTAATTTTGAAGTGACATTCTAGATTCACATCTGTTTATGTAATAAAATTAGTGTACACCTCTTGTATGGTTACACATCTCTTTATGTACACAATCAGTATACACCTCTTGTGCATATTCACATCTGTTTATGTACAAAACTATTGTACACCTCTTTTATAAATTCCTACCAGTGGCACAGTGGTTTGTCTGTGGACTTACAATGCTAGAAACTGGGTTTTGATACCCATGGTGGGCAGAGCACAGATAGCCCATTGCATAGCTTTGTGCTTAAGTTCAAACAAATTCTTTTATAAATACACATGTCTTGTGTAAGTTCTCATCTGTTTATATACAAAATTAGTGTACACCTCTTTTATAAATACACATCTCTTATGTACAAAATCAGTGTACACCTTTTGTGTAGATTCACATCTGTTTATATGCAAAATTAGCATACACCTCTCAAGGAGATTCACATCTGTTTGTGTAATAAACCAGCATACACTTCTTGTCTGGATACACATCTGTTAACATGCTCACCATCAACTAGACTTTATACAATTCAACTTTTTTAGTAATGTTTCAAAGAAGGGCTACTCTGAAGTACAAATAATTATTTATATGAGTGGTTACTCTTGTCTGAGAAAATAGTAGGATTTTACCATTGCTCTTATGATGCACCTACAGTCGTTTTATTTCTATACCCACAAACAAATATGTTTTTTAAATTGCTGAAAATTGGATATAATAGCTAAATATGTTTACCCAACATCATCAAGAAATCCATCAGTGAAATAAAATGGTTTTATATGGAGCTTTAAGAATTTAAAGAATTACAAGTTTAATAACACAAAATTCAGTATAAAGACATTAGTAATGGTAGAGAAAACAAAAGAAAAAGTAAAACATAAACAGGTAGTTGTGACAGTTAGAACAGAAACTAGTTGTAAGATACTAAGCCACGATGAAACTCATTTAGTAGAAATTTAGCTTCTCTACTCATGTGCTCAGAAATTAAATATTGAAACAACACAAGATAGCTACAAATACCAGGTTTGAGCCCCAATCCGAGAAGGTTTTTAGCATTTTGATCCTTTCTTTTATAAGAACAAAAGTCAAGGTTTAATATACAGGTTAAAAAAATCTTTCTAATGTAATTTCTCTTGACAGACACCCAGCCAAAGACATCCTATCCTTAAAATTACCATGTAGCACTATATCTAGTCATATGTCAAAAATGGTTCTGTATTCATATTTTAATTGAAACAAAACATTATCTAAAAGATATCATTGAACATCACTGGTGCTCAGAATAATGGTAAGTGCTTCTGTTTTAAGACATTTTGAGTCATCTAGATACACCAACCAAGAAGTAGCTTCATAGTTTTTTCTGTTCAAATAAGTATCTAAAAATGTTTCTTAAGTTATATTTAAAGTATTCCAAAATATTAAATATCTAGCTAGGTAGTAAATTCTTCGTTCTGTGTGTGTCTTATGTGAACAGTATCTAATCAAGTAGCAATTTCATGAAATATATGTACCTAAGATTTATCTATTAACAAACAAATTACCAGTAAAAATAAACTTGAATAAAATCTACTTACTGCAATTCTTCTCATCTGATTGATCAGTGCAGTCAGTATGACCATCACAATGCCAGCTGGATGGTATACATATGTGATTGCTGCACCTAAACTGACCCCTATGACAAGAAGGAAATTCTAGAAAAAAAATTTTTTTATTAGAATGTTATTTTTAAAATAGGCCTATACAAGTGTGAAACAGAATTGTAAGCTTATCTATTCATTTATTTAAGAACAAAAAATAAAGCAGCTGTTAATTATTAAAAACTAAAGTAAAATATGTAACATTTTTTGTTGTTGGGGGAAAAAAAACCTGCACAAAGTTGAATTTGTCTCTGCATCCTTCTGCATGCATAGGATATTATGTAACAAAACTAATATGTTTGTCCTAAATTATACATACCACATTCCTGTTCATCAGAATTGTCTCCACAATCATTCCAATGATCACATTTCTTGCCTAAATCTATACACTTGTTTCCATTAGCACATCGAAACTCATTTAGGCCACATGCTGTTCTGTCTATTAAACAAAAAATAAAATAACACAAAGCCTTTAAAGTGCATTAATAAACCAACTGTAAGTGTTTCATTCTTTAGAATTATTTTTAAAAATGCTGTATATTTTTTTTGTCAAGAACAGTGCTGTTTTGTAACAAACAAGGGGAGAAAGTTTTATATTTCATCAACCTCAAATTTATTCTAAAACAGGAATTTCTTGTACAAGAACTTCATCGGGAAAAAAGTCTCAGATGATAGGCATCAGTCCTTTATGTAAATTCTATAAAGTGATTTTGGTTTGATATTTGATTCAAAATTTTGCAGTGATGCAAGCAATAAATATTATGTCATTATGATAATACATTTTGACAGTTTTATATACAGAAGAAAGCATTGAGATGTAAAATCTATTTAAAAGTTTGAATATTGGTGACCATGAATTGTCCTTTTGTGAAATGTAACTATAACCAAATACAACAAATACAACTGAGTAAATGTGCTTGGTAATTTTATTGGCCTATACATTCAATGCTGGCCAATGGTAGTAGTTGAATTTTTACAGTAATTAAATTTATCATAAACTGTACTATTTTAGCTTTATATATCTTAATTACTAACACAAAAAAAAGAATCACCCATACATGGTGCTATCCTTAGTTGCCTTAATTTTTTAAATAAACATTCTACAGTCCCATATAGTCATACATATACACATTATAAAGGTTAGAAATACATCAAAAGAAGTAACTCACTAAGAATACAGTGCTTTTCATCACTTTCATCTCGACAGTCATAATATCCATCACATTTTTTACTGATAGGAATGCAAAGACCATTGCCACATTTATGGTCATTTGGAAGGCATTGCCTATAGCCTATTAAAGAATTAAAAAGCATAAATCTTTTGTTTTGGCAAAAACATGGATATCTAAATTATATTAGTTTTCAACATAAATACATACTAAAAACACAATGAACTAAAACAAAATGCATTGTATATTCTTACTAAAAAAATTATCTTTGTTACATCTGACTTAGAAGGAAATCACTACTTCATACAAAACAGATTAACCCATTTTTAAAGAAAGAAACAGAATTAATTGGAAGGTATAGCATTAAGATAACAATAAACAAAATTACTGTGACAAGGTACAACAAGCACTATTAGATTTTATATTGTAGCTCTAACTATCATTCCATGTATTATATAATATGCATTTTAGATGGAATATTACACTTTTAAGAGGAACAAGTTTTATTAAAATTGTAAAGATGTTCAAATACTTTTGGGAGACTAATAATATGGCCTCTATCAAATGCTATGGTGTTAGTGTATAGAAATAGAAGGATGATTTTCAACAATCCTTATAAAAATGTATACACATGCTTACAGGTTATTGACAAAATACAATAATCACTGTGACCTTAACTCGGCAAATGCTACAAAATGTGAGCCACAATCTGAGCAAAACAGTAATATTGTGAACAACTTTTGCATCACCATATACATCTCCATAGCTTTTGCCAATTGTTACAGGGGTACCTGAATAATCTTTAATATCATGGGGTTTAGTATATGTGTTAGGCCTGTTAGAAAAAAAGGGTGCATGACTCCTGCAAAATCTTATAATTAATATTTTAATTATTCATTAATGAAAGTAACATTCTTCTTTTCTAATAAAAATGTTTATTTTGCACGACAATCTACTAGTGTTAATAACCTACACTTGTTTATGGATAAAACAAATTTGTAACAGTGCAATTAAAGTGATTTCTAGTAGATTATTGAGGAGGTGTATAATTGTGGCAATATGGTAAGGCCTATGTTTGAATATCCAAAGTAAAATGACCTAGATCCCTGTCTGGGGATTTTCTGATTAATTACAGTGAATTTCGGGTTGACATGGACTTTGAAACATATGAAAGGGATCTTTGATATGTATGTAGCACTTCTGAAGTGAAGTGATACTTTTTTTATGATAAATGATGAATATAATTTCCCAAAGTCCTCTGAAATAAAAGTGAAATATATTAAACTTCTGTACAGCCTATGCCTGCCTAAAAATATTTTATCTTAACACTGGAAATGTTACTTTTTATTACTGTTTCGATACAGGTGAAATGTTAAATAATTTGCCCCAATCCTGATGCAGTCAAATATGAAGAACTATGTTCCAAATAAGCAGATGGATGGTTTAGAAAACCAAGCAGAAATCTCCAAGCGAGCTTAAACTCCTTACTTCTACAATGTGTGTGTGTGTATTTGTATGCTTAACATGCTTCTCCACCATCGAGTATAAAAGATGTTCATAAAAAACTGGCTTTATCTGGAATGACTGGCTGGCCTTAATAAAATGTATACTTCTTACCTGCTGCTCTGTTTACTTGCCATCATGCTGCACAGACAAACAAAAGATTTAATGTAGGTCAATGAACCAGAAATACTAGATCTTTTAAACTGTATAGCCTAAAATATTAATATCCAGCAAATGTAGATCTCTATCTGTAGAATAATCTATTTTCTGCTTGGTTGAGACATCAGTGTTTCATAAAGGTCCACTGCACTTTAGCTAGCTTATTTATTGTTCAACTTAATTTTGAAGAGATGGCAACAAAACAAAGCACAAATTACTGTGTTGAAAATATTTACTTTAAAGATTAAATACATAAATCTTCAAAACATATACTATAACAAATGTTCCAATAATGTTAAAATTATTAATTCATCTTTTAACTGCATAATGCAAGTTAATGTGACTTCTTGCTGTGTGTATGTAAAAATAACAAATAAAACTTAAGAATGTTTTAATTCTTTTCACACTACAAAATAAGTGTATTACTTGAATCATTTCATTTTTTTTTAAATAGATAGCTTTTGTTTTTGTTTATCAAGCTTTAGAAGATTGTACAGAGTTAAATCAAAACAAATATTTCTTTCTGAAATTCGATCATTCACATTTTTTTTCTGATAGAGATACAAGATTCTCTTAAACCTCAAAATGCTCCTTGTGGAAGTTTATTTTTCTTTTATATCAGTTTTGTCCAACTGACAGCTCATGGGTCATATCTGACCTCATGACTGAGTTTATCCAGCATGAGCACTCCTTGGGAATTGCATGTTAAAGTTTGAATTTATACATAAATAACTTTACATAGAAAATCCCTATTAAAATAAATTACACATGTAACAAGTTCTGAACCTCCAGTGTTTCAATCCTGTAAAGTACAGTCTTATACAGATTTAAAAGTTGGACTACCTTGTTCAATTCAACATTATGTTAATGAGCTAAATTGTGTTATTAATCTTTACCACTTGTTATCTTTCAATCAGTATGAAGTGTTATATGGTCATCTTCTTTTTTTCTTTGATAAACTGATGTCTTGATTTGTGTTTTTAATTCTAGTATTTTATGTTAATTTTACATTTTATGCTCCACAAATGCAATCAGTACAATGCTTATGATTTTATGTTCTAAAACATTAGTTTCCTTACATCTTAAGGGCAAGGATGGGCTTACCTTTAGGTTAAGCAACTGGTTCCAAGCACTTACTAGTGATGAGGGGGAGCAAGTAAGGGAAACAGATTGGATTAGAAGGGATGATAGTGTAAAGGATAGGGAAGTTATAGTTGTAGGTGATTCTCTAATTAGGCATGTAAATAGAGTAGTATGTGGAGTAAATGGGAACAAAAGAATATACTTATGCTATCCAGGAGCAGGGGTACAAGATATAACTGATAGAACCAGAGAGATAGTTAAGGGTGCTAGTAGCAATGGGTATAGGATATGACTGATAGAACCAGATAGATAGTTAAGGGAACTAGTAGCAATAGGTACAGGATATAACTGATAGAACCAGAGAGATAGTTAAGGGAACTGGTAGCAATAGGTACAGGATATAAATGATAGAACCAGAGAGATAATTAAGGATGCTAGTAGTAATGGGTACAGGATATAAATGATAGAACCAGAGAGATAATTAAGGATGCTAGTAGTAATGGGTACAGGATATAAATGATAGAACCCAAGAAATAGTAAAGTAACAATGCAGTTTTTACGGTACATGTTGAGGCTAATGATGTAAGGAAAGCTGGATTTGAAGAGCTTATTGATAAGTACAAAACACTGATAAGGGCATTTAAGGAAAGGGGTCATAGCTTGATTTTGTCAGAGATATTGCCAAGAATAAATTGTGGGGATGAGAAACTAAGAAGGTCATTAGGATTGAATGCCAGGCTTAGATCAATATGTAGGGATGAGCAAATAAGCTGGTTGGATTTGTGGGATAATTTTAATAGGAAAGTTAATATTTTTTTTGGAATGGATTGCTTACACTTAAACAAGGTAGGGGGCTAGCATGTTAACATGGGCTATTAACTTAGCTGTAGTGGTAGATTTAAACCAGGGCTAGACAGAGGTGAAGGCTATGATATTAGTAAAATATGAAATATAATTGGCAGGAAAACATGAACATATTTTAAAATCTAAGATTAATTGTTGCTATTGTAATGTCAGGAGTATCAGAAATAAAATTGATAAGTTCAGAGAAGTTATAGAAATTGAGAATTTTGATATTATGAGTATCACTGAGACTTGGTTGGATTTGATCAATTTTGATGAGAGAAATTTTTTTGAAATACCAGGCTACAGATTATTTAGTATTTAGATTATTTAGAGATAAAGTATTCAGAAAAAGGGGGAGGAGTAGCTTTATATGTGAGGAGTGAATTGCATTCTGTTGAGTTAGAGCGTATTAAAGAAAATAGCACTGAGGTTGAATAAGTTTGGATTAGTGTTAGTGGATATAAAGAGAGAAGTATTGTAATTGGGATTTGTTATAGACCACCAGATCAGAATGTGGAAGTTAATTAGAAATTGTATAATGAGATGAGAATAGTAGCT